AGGGCATGCATTTTTGAAAAATGGATGAGGCCTGAAAATTTTTCTAAGTGTTGGGACTCATAATCGATCAAACCACATGTTTGATCGATCGAAAGGTAGTTCGATCGATCGAAATGGTTTACGATTGATCGAACTTTTGAAAATTTGGAAATCCCGAGAGCATGCATTTTGGAATTTGGATGCAGGTCTAAAATTTTTTCTAAGTGTTGGGACTCAAGTGGAGTTCAATCGATCGAATCCATAGTTGGATCGATCGAAGAACAATTCGATCGATCGAAGGTGCTCTTGTGATCGATCGAACTGGCACCAAATGCCTAATTTTGAACTGAAAGTGCAGAAAATCCTATGCTAAGCCCCAATGATGGTAACAAGAATGAAAATTTGAAAAATAGATGGAAGAATGTACACAAGAATGAAAAATAAAAAGAAATGAGGGAGGAATAGAGTTGTGAAACTCTACGAATACTAGTGCTTAACGTCTCTAGCAAGACGTTAGGTCAACTCACTAATCAAATGAATCAAAAACTGGATATGAAACATCCTTATTGGATCGATCGAACTTTTCAGCTGCACAACTTAATTCCTTTTTGCTCCTTTCTTTCTCCACTTTGCTCCCTCCTTTGGTTTATCTCAGGATTGCTTCAATTAAGTTCTTATTTGGCTGAGTTAGCTCAATTTTGGGATTAGTGCCTGAAAATATAAATAACACGTAATAAGTCTAAAGCGGCAAAGTAAGATAGATAAAGGTACTAGAATGCTTAAGCTTAATGGGTTTAAATGCGCACTTTTCGGTGCTCATCAATTAACATGCATCTCAATTAAATTGTATATCTTCATAATCTGATTAAATTAATTTAAATCTAAATAATTGATTAAAATAATTTAATCCAACCATATTTAATTAATTTATCTTTTTTAAAAATTAATTAAATTTCTTACTTAGCATGTAAACTTAAAATTATGCATTCCAACTCTTAATGAATCTTTTTAAATTAAATAAATATTTAAATTCAGATCCATCAATCAAAAATAATAAATATCAGTTTAATACTCCAGCATTAATCAAAATAAATAAAAAAAACATATATAAGGATAAATTTAAAGATTATATAATTATCAACCATGATATCAACTATTATACTAACCCTTGTATCAATAATATGTGTATTATATAACAATATGGTTTTCTTAAAGCAATTCCTCGTTCGGCGTGCCTATAGGAAGAATAAATTTGACTTCTCTATTTAAAGACTATATATACTAACCAATATATCAACTATACAGGCCTTTTATATCAATCTGATTTCCTTAAAGCAATTGTAAAGGCTTCCTCGTTCGGCGTGTGTATGGTACGAAGGAAACAACTTCTAATACAAACTGATTCTTTCCTTGAACTATTATTTGATTGTTTGTTTTTTTTTTTTATTATTATTATTTTTTTTATTCGGTGTGCATAGTTTAAGAAAGCAACAACAATCAGATGTCATCTAGATAAAACAAACTGATTCATATAAAGAAAATTCGTGTTTATAAAATAAATAAATAAAAATATCACCCAACAATGCCCAGTTCAACAGAGATATTCAATTCATCACAAATTCATTATTTAAACACATGAATTGTAACTTCTAAATTAATCCATGAAATTTGATCCAATTAATTTATTTAAAGAACCTAAAATTAATCTAGCATGCATAGAGTACGAATCAAAGGAGAAGAGAAGAATTAGAACTTGCCTTTAGAGATTTGATAAAAACCCTAGCCTCCTTCTTCCTTTTTCTCTTCATTCCTGTTCCTTCTTTCTCTCTCTAAAATATGGTACGTGATATATTTTCTAACCTCTTTCACAACTCTATAGTTATATATTTATAGGCAACTAAAATAACCCTAATCCTTTTCCCATTCTAAAACAAACTAAAATAAAATAAAAATCAAATAAACTAAAATTTAAATACTAAAAAGGTAACTTAAATATATGTTACGTATAATTTATGTGTACTCCCTTTTATATATAATATATAAATATATATCAGATTATTATTAAAGGAACTTTGCTTATATATATATATATATATTTATTAAATATACATATACATGGGTAATTATCCGTACCCATTAAATCCCTTATCCAAGTAGTCCATGGAGCCTAATTGATTGATCAATTACTAATATCCATATCCAATTCCTTAAAAACATAAAAATAAAATAAAAATAAAAATAAAACAATTAAATTCCTAAATAAATACACATCATCACATACAATTCAATTTAAACAAATAATTAAATCAATTAAACAAGTAAACAATTAGCCAAAAAAAATAACTAAATAATTAAATGCAATTAAAACTATTAAAATAATACCGAGACTATCCTTTTTAAATTAGGGGTATTACAATACCCTCCATTTCAAATTTTCCTCATGCACATGATAATAAGTCGTCATGTGTCTTTATGACGAGCCAATGGAAGTTATCATTATAAACCGCAACTTCATATGAAGAAACCCCGTTACCAAGGTCGTTGCACTTACGGACATTTTCACTCATGCCAGTTACTATTAACTGTTCTTGAAAAAGGTCAAAGATGTTAGTAGTGTACAGACATCCGACTTGATATAAAATAGGAGACCTTGCTTTCAGCCTGAGCATCTTATGCAGCAAGTCATACTTAGCTGCATACTCCTTGTATCGCTTATCGAACAAAAGCGTTTCAAAATGTTTGAAAAACTCCGGCAATGCATATTGTCTCGCTAAGTACTGTTTTAAACGCGCATTGAAGCTCTCATTAAGCTGTGTAGTACGCATACCAGCCGACCACACATGTTTGACATATACCCTAGCCCATACATGTTTCAAACCAAATAAGTTGGCCAAGCACTTGTTATTCTCTACAGCAAATTCCTTTTCCATCAATGCCCATTCTACCAAGAATTCTTCCCCACCCTCAATCTCATACATTAATTTTGATATCACACTTTTTATGCCTTTCCCACTGACAGACAAATTCCCAATATACTTTTGGGTATTTTGCATTAGGTGCCATGTACATAGAAGGTGTTTTGTATCGAGTATGACCTGGACTAATGCCTTTTGTGATACCCCTCGGATCTGAGACACGGGTTGATCGGGCCCAGGCCCAAACCCGAGGGAATATCAAATAATTAATAATTTAGCGAACACAGAATACAAAACGAATTTAGGAAATAAACATTTAAGCTGAATGAAAACTAAAGTATATAATCCTTTTAAAATTTTAAAATCCCAAATAACAAATATTAATCCATCTCCAAAACCTCCAAGAAATACATCTCGGGAATCCATCCAGTGGACCCCTAATAATAAAACCAAACTAAAAAATAAATCTAGAAAGAATCCATAAATAAATCGTGGAGAGAGATCCTACGTCGTCGGAAGAATGAGTAATCGTCTCTGCTCAGTACGAATAAGCTTAAGTCTGGAACTGACGTACACCTAAAAAATAGGAGTGGGTCAGGCCCACGAACAAGTTCTATCCTACTACAATCCAAGCAGAGACTCGATACGCATGTACATACCAAATAGTTCACAATAGCTAATAATCCGTACATAAGTATATTCACACTACTGGACTCTCGCTAGACTATGACGAGGGTCTCAACCTGAATAGAAGGCATCACGCAAAGCGCACCTGAGTGGGCATGAGTACCTAAGCCTAAACAGGGTATACCTCAACCCTCACAGCCAGTTACGCATCCAACTGCATATACGCACCCTAACCGTCGACTCTGAGACTCAAGCTCATGTCGCGGTATCCTAACAATATATCTAAACTCCGTTCCTAATCATCCACAAGAAATTCAGTAAGTCGTTCGGCGTATTCAACCGTACCGACTCGTATATATATAAGGAGGATTTATTTAATAACCCATACCCTTATTCTAAAATAGGTAGGACTTAGCAACTTTAGCTAATCTAAACCTAGTATGACACCATTCCATACCGGTGCATACAATCCCTTCCATCCAACAGTTGATAAAACATCGACAATATAGATATCAATATCAACAATTCCATACCAAGCATATTAAGGTATCTTATCCAACATGCTTAAATATAACCAACAATTGATAAGGAATTGACAATATAAATATCAGTATCAACAATTCCAAACTAAGCAAATTAAAGTATATTAACAAATATGCTTAAGTAAACCAACACAGCAACCCTTATTTGATAACACAGGACTGTGTCTGTAAATACAAGTCTATTCCCAGTATCCATAATTAACAGAGCCTAAATAAAGATTGTATCACTTAATTCCAGAGCATGCATAATCAATATAGGCAATTGATCATATTTTTAATTTCCTATCCAACAAATTGATGTACTAAATGTTACAATTTAATCATCAATTAATCTTTAGCAAAATATAGATTTAAACCAATAATTTTAAGTCTTTAATGTGTTTTATAATTCATTTAAGAACCCCCCCATCAAATTTCAGAATTGCCTTTTAGCCCCTGGAGAAACAAAAATCCCAAAATTTCACGTACTAGACAAATACAAAAGGTTGAGGGGGCTCCAATTTAAGGTAGAGGAGGCTCCACTTGGGTAGAGGGGGCTCCAATTTTAAGTAGAGGAGGCTCCACTTAGGTAGAAGGGGCTCCAATTTTAAGTAGAGGAGGCTCCACTTGGGTAGAGGGGGCTCCACTTGGGTAGAGGGGCCTCCAATTTTAAGTGGAGGAGGCTCCACTTTCCTCAGCCTCCCAGTACGTATTTTTATTCCACGAATTTGCGATTAGCAGTGGACAAGCTCTCACAGAAAATTCCTATATAATTAAGAAATTTAAATATCCAAATCCATACAGGTCTGCGAGACACATAAAACAAATCCATACAGTTTTAAAGATTAATACTCCGTGTCCAATTTTACATTATTCTATCCTTTGAGACTTTAATCTACTCTGGACAACCTCTAAAAGATTCATTACAGTATTTATTTTCTTCAGAAAACTTAGAAATTCAATAACCAAAAAGCTTCCTCACTGAAAACTGAAAAACAAAACAAACAGAACGTAAAAACCATAAAGGAACAACATAGAGCAGGCTCCAAAACCTTGGAGCCGCCTCCAATGGCCTTGGAGCCGCCTCCACTTCAAGGAGAGCCGGCTCTCTCCCTCCTTTGCCTCGTGTTTTCTTCTTCAGTCATCGTCTACACCTCCGACACTTCACAGCTTAGGTTCCCAGAGGTTCTAACTTAGTCCCAGTAGATTCCAACCCTTGTTTAAATCTTTATTATATTTACTAACATGGAATTGAACAGAAAACAGTGCAAGGAAAAAATTCAAGTTTAAACAATTTATCAATCATAAAAGTTACGATTGAAATTTTAAATTATGGAAATAGATTGCGTTTTTTTTTTTTTTTTTTTAAAATATATAATCCATCCTGGAACTATTTAAGTATGCAAAGAACACGAAGCCTAAGGGAGAGAGTTAAGACAGAACTTGCCTTTGAGACTTTTGTTCAAAATCTCTACGTCGTCTTCTAAGGTTCCGGCGATTCCTACTGCAAAATTCCTCCTCTGTTCCCTCTTTGCCTCCACAGACGTGAATAGATTTTATTTGCTTTTCCTAAAACCCTTAACAGACGTATCCTTTATATTTATAGAGTTATACCAAACCCTAAATTAATTCAAGCCCTAAACTGAATCCTAATCGGCCCATAGAAAACTTAATTAAAGTTTAATTATGTCGGCTACATCCGTGACGTCTAAAACCTAATTTAACAAAAACACAATTAACTTAAATCAAATAAATAAAGTAATATAACCATGCAATTAAAACAATTAAGAAATCGATAATTAAATAAAAATCAAGTAACTCAAGTAAAATTGACAATTAAATAAAAACCAAATAACTCAATAATACACCATTAATTACACCAAAACAAAGTTATCATTAAATAAATAAAACACAATTTAAACAATTAAATAAATTCATTAATTACACCAAAACAAAGTCACCATTAAATAAATAAAAACACAATTTAAACAATTAAATAAATTCCAGGACTATCCTTGTTAAATTAGGGGTATTACACCTTTGCCATTGTAGCGTCTTGGTCGGTCAAGATCGTCCTTGGTGCTTTATGGGACATGGCATTTAAGAATGTATTGAATAACCAACCAAAAGAATTGGTTATCTCATCATACATGAAAACTGCTCCAAACACAACTGTCTCTCGGTGATGCTTCAAACTGAGAAAAACTGCAAAAGGCCAATTCCTATAAACAAGTTTGTACGTGGTATCAAATGTCAGCAGATCTCTAAAATGCCCATAATCTGATATCATTTTTGAATCGGCCCAAAATATATTTGTTATCATTGCACCGTTGTCTAATTGCACGGCATTGAAGAATGATGGATCTTCCAAATACTGTGTCTGGAAATAATTCATCAGCCAATTTGCATCACCAAGTTCAAAGTCGTTTTGTCTTCTCATCCGAATATAATTTTGTATATCAGCCTTCGTGAATCCAATACTTTCTCTACCACCAGCTTGCCTCGAACTTAACTCAAAGGCTTTACGAACGAGTATTCCACAATCGGCAGCCAACTCCACATCAATAGCTTGCACTGACTTGATTTTTCGCTGCAACCGCATCATTTGGGCACAATCCTCACTGATGAGGGGATGGTTGTGAGTACATTAAAATCTTTGACAATGTACTTACCAAATTCCACATTAAAGGCAATAAGCATGCGTGCACGACAATCGGTGCGTGTTTCAGCCCTTCGATTCTTCATTTTCTTATCCCTCTTGTCCTGACCTCTTTTTCCCTCCTTGCTACATACAAAATTTCTAGATGTTACTTTTCTATCCTTCCGACTGTTATTTTTGTACTCTCTCCGGAAACTAAAAACCACTCTGCCACCATATTCATTGTAAAAATCATAAGCCGCTTCTTCGGAATCAAACTGCATATCAACGCGGGGTATCCATTCTACTTCAGGAATTTCACAAACTGAATCGCTATCTGTCTCTTCAATGTGAATAATTGCCTCTTCAATAGCCATAACTATAATAGCAAACCTACAAAAATATGATAAAAAAGTAGGTATATCATAACAGCACAACATTTATATGACATATGTCAACACTTTCATAAATACAGTATCACATATTTCACCTAAAACATCCACATCAAATTTACTTCTACACTAATATCATGCATTACCATTCATGTAAGAACTTTATCACATGTACCATATGTTTCCATCACAAATATATCTAACATGTTTCAACTGTACACTAGATATGCAAACAATTTGTGACAAACATAAAATTACTTTGATAACACAACTTTTGCATAATATATGTCAGCCGTTTTGTAAATACAGCATCACACATTTCACCTAGCATATACACATCAAATTTATTTCTACACTACTATAATGCATTACCATTCATGCATCCATTTTCTAACATGTGTCATAAAAAATACATGCAACATACTACAATTGTACACTACTGTAAAATATATAACTACAATATCACATCTTTTACCTAACATATTCACTGAAAATTTAATTCTACACTACTATAATGCATTAACATTGAAACAAGAACTTTCTAACATCTGGCATATGTTACCATAACAAATAAATCTAACACAATTCAAATGTACACTAGATATGCAAACAATTGGTTGCAAATATAATTTTACATTCATAACACAACATTTCTATAACATATGTCACCAGTTTCATAAGTACAACATCACATATTTAACATAACAAATCCACATAAAATTTAGTTGTACACTACTATAATGCATTAACATCCAGCCAAGAAATTTGTAACATGTGCCATATGTTGCCATAAGAAATAACTGTAATATAATTCAAGTGTACACAACATATGCAAACAATTGGTGGCAAACATAATTTGACCTTCACAACACAACTTTTTTATAACATATGCCAATAGTTTTATAAATAGAATATCATATCTTTCAGTTAACAAATTCACATAAAATTTACTTCTACACTACTATAATGCTTTACCATTCATGCAACCATTTTTTAACATGTACTATATGTTAACAGATTAAATTCATATAATAAATTTCAACTGTACATTAGATGTCAAAACAAATGGTGTCAAATATAATTTGACTTTCTCACCACAACTTTTATATAACATATGTCAACAAGTTCAGAAATACAACATCACATATTTGACCTAACATATCCATTAAAAATTTACTTCTACACTACTATAATGAATTACCATTAATTGAACTTTTTTCTAATATGTGGCATATGTTGGCATAACAAATACATCTAACATAATTCAAACTTAAATTAGATATGCAAACAATTGGTGGCAAACATAATTTGACCTTCACAGCACAACTTTTTTATAACATATGCCAACAGTTTCATAAATAGAATATCACATCTTTCAGCTAGCATATTCACATAAAATTTACTTCTACACTACTATAATGCTTTAGCATTCATGCAACCATTTTCTAACATGTGCTATATGTTAACAGATCAAATTTATATAACAAACTTCAACTGTACATTAGATGTCAAAATAGATGGTGTCAACCATAATTTGACTTTCTCGCCACAACTTTTATATAACATATGTAAACAGGTTCAGAAATACAACATCACATATTTGACCCAACATATCCATTAAAAATTCACTTTTACATTACTATAATGAATTACCATTAATGAAACTTTTTTCTAACATGTGGCATATGTTGCCATAACAAATACATGTAACATAATTCAAACTTAAATTAGATATGCAAACAATTGGTGACAAACATAATTTGACATTTACATCACAATTTTTTTATAACATATGTCAACAGTTTCAAAAATAGAACATCACATCTTTCAGCTAACATATTCACATAAAATTTACTTCTACACTACTATAATACTTTAGCATTCATGCAACCATTTTCTAACATGTGTTATATGTTAATAGATCAAATTCATATAATAAACTTCAACTGTACATTAGATGTCAAAACAATTGGTGTCAAACATAATTTGACTTTCTCACCACAACTTTTATATAACATATATTAATAAGTTCATAAATACAACATCACATATTTGACCTAACATATTCATTAAAAATTTACTTCTACACTGCTATAATGAATTACCATTAATGGAACTTTTTTCTAATATGTGGCATATGTTGCCATAACAAATACATCTAACATAATTCAAGTTTAAATTAGATATACAAGTAATTGGTGGCAAACATAATTTGACTTTTACATCACAATTTTTTTATAACATATGCCAACAGTTTCATAAATAGAACATCACATCTTTCAGCTAACATATTCACATAAAATTTACTTCTACACTACTATAATGTTTTATCATTCATGCAACCATTTTCTAACATGTGCTATATGTTAACAGATCAAATTCATATAACAAACTTCAACTGTACATTAGATGTCGAAACAATTGTTATCCAACATAATTTTACTTCCTCACCACAACTTCTATATAACATATGTCAACAAGTTCATAAATACAACATCACATATTTGACCTAACATATTCATTAAAAATTTACTTTTACACTATTATAATGAATTACCATTATTGGAGCTTTTTTCTAATATGTGGCATATGTTACTATAACAAATACATCTAACATAGATATGCAAACAATTTCTGGCAAACATAATTTTACCTTTACAACACAACTTTTTTTTAACATATGTCAACAGTTTTATAAATACAACATCACATCTTTCACCTAATATATTCACATAAAATTTACTTCTACACTACTACAATGCTTTACCATTCATGCTACCATTTCCTAATATGTGTCATATGTTAACAGATCAAATACATCTCAAATACGGCAACTGTACACTATATATGCACACAATTGGTGGGAAACCTAACATATGCACATATAATTGACTTCTACACTACTATAATGAATTACTATTAATCCAACCGTTTTATAACAAGTGGCATATGTTGACCTTCACAACACAACTTTTCTATAACATATGTCAACACTTTCATAAAAATAACATCGCATCTTTTAATATTCAAAATATACAAATACTATTCTAAAATTTTATTCAAACTGAAAAGTAATAAAATTTAGGATTGAACATGGCTAAAACAGATGAATATGGACATAACATTGGCACAAGAACAAGCTTTAAAATGGTATATGCATATAAAATCGTAAACTTTTATTATAACTGATAACTAATATAGTTTATTCACAAATAAAGTTATTTCACAAAGGCTAAAACAGAGAAATATGGACATATCATAGGCACAAGAACAAGCTTCAAAATCTGGTATATGCATATACAATCATAAAATTTCTTTGTTCAGTGATGACTAATAGGATTCATTCAAAAAAAGAGAAAAAAGGCTAAAATAGATAAATAGGAACATAAAATACGCACAACGACAAGCTTCCCAATTCTCGGGTTGCCTGAAAATAAGAATAATTCATGCTCATCAGGACTAATAACCCAGCCTTCAGATTTTTGGATTACCAATAATCACCACCGGATTTGATATATCATTATGAATAAAGTTACAAGAAATTCAAAATAACAACCTAATATTTATAATGATCAGAGCTTCTCGCCGGACTGGTTGATCAGAGCTTAAGCTGATCACCGGAATGGATGATCAGACATTCACCTCCTTACCGGAATCCTTCACCTTCTTGCTAGAATAGATGATTGTAGCTTCAGCTTCTCGTCGGAAGGGATGATCGGAAGTTCAGCTTGTTGCCGGAATGTATGGTGATTTTTTCGAACCGAGCTTCTGAACACGGTCCTTCTCTTCAAAAATCTTTATATGTCTAAACAGGGACCATCTCTTCATAAATCTTCATCTTTATGTGTCTAATGTATCTTCATCTTTATGTTCATATAACAGAGAGTTTTTGACCAGTTTGAGAAGAGAGTTTTTGTTTTACAGAGCAGAGGCTTCAATTATGTGTTTTTGGTTTATAGAGCAGAGCAGAGGCATATATATGTATACATATATCAGATCAGTTTTGGCTCCAACCTTAATTTTGGTTTTGGGGGGAATTTTAACTTGAAAATGAAATACACAAAGGGAAGGGCGTCCATAAGGGTAAAAGTAGGAGTATGTACAGAAATGGTATAAGCAAAACTACAGTGACTACCCAATTTACCTTATTTGCCACATCAGCCGAGAGCCCAGCACTAGACCGGTTCCAATGAGATGCGAATGGAGACAATTTTTCTCCTAATATTTCTACACTACAAAATTCTTCTTTATAGGTTAATCATATAACAATGACAAGAATACAAGGTAAATTAGGGGTGGACAAAAATTTGGTAAAATCGAAAATTCAAATCAGATCAGATAGGTCATGGTTTGGGCTCATTTAAGACCAAATTGGACCAAACCAAACCGTTAAGTTATATATATATATATATATATATATATATATATATTATGTATAATATATATATATATATATTATACATATAATATAATATAATATAATTCTGAATTGTGGTGTTTGTTGTTAAATTAGTAGTTATATGTATTAAGCTATTAGCAGTGTTCATTAATTCTTTTCAGTTCCAAAAGTGATAGAGAAAAATAAATATATTAATACATTTGAATGTATTAACTTATGTTCTAAAAATGAATGTCTTAGCAGTTTTGCCTTTGCATTTTAAAATATAAATAATTTATATAATAGTAAAAATAAATAAATAAATAAATAAATAAAGAGGAACCATGAAACTGCATCGGTGTTTTATGATTTGGTTTGGTTCGGTTTCTTTGGCCAAATGGTTCGATTTGGCTCTAGATTTTCTAAAACCGTTAGGAAGAGTTTGGTTTCAAAAAAAACTCTTAAACCAATCCAAACCGTATCGTGTGCACCGTAAGTTAAATGATTAAATTCACCCGTATAACTTAATTTCAAAATAAATTTTATGTTAAATCAGACAATGGGTTGACACTTATTATTTTTTGGACAATATTTGGTGAGTAGTTCATCCATACTGACCGTTGATATTGTCCAATTACAAATACACATATAATATGTGATTGTAAAATACACATATAATATGTGATTGTAAAATCACGAAAGTGAAAAATAAGAAAATCAGATGGATGATTGAATTTATTTAAAAAAAAAAAAAAGTTATTATCCTTATTTATCACTTTCTTGATTTTATAATCATATATTATATGTGTAGGTCAGTATGAATGACCTATTCACCGGTGAGTAGACAATTTTTTTTTTTGTTTTTTTTTGTTTTTTTTTTTTGAAGTATATACACACTTTTTTCCTTCTGACCCTATACCACTCAGGTCAAACTCTCTTTGGTGTCTAGAGAGTTTATTCCTAGTATATAGATTTAGCAAGGCAATTGAAATGTTAATAGCCCATGGTTTAGAAATTACAACGTGTTCCCCATTTAGGCCTAAAGTGGCCCATTCGGTAGAAATCGAGCTCGTACAGCAGGGCTGACACATTAAGGCTAGAACAATGGCCCAAGATCGGCCCTCAAACATAACATAATTCAACCATTTTTCTTCTCTGTTTTAATTGGCAATATTTAGGTCCTCCCACGAGAGACTGAACTTTATCATTTCAGTTAAAGTGGTCTATTACAATTAAGACACATTTAAATTTTTTTACTACTAGTTATTATCCAACTTCACTCGAATCTAATTTTTTTTCTTTCCTTATTTAAAATATTTAGAATCCCTTAAACCCAAATCCAATTTTTTTTTTTTTTTTTTACCCAATCTCAATCTGAAATCCTAGTCTATTTACATCAATCAAATCTCAACTTTTATTCAATATGTAAAATAATATATAAACCAAAAGAAGCTTATAAGTGACACAAAACTATACCAATCAAAATTTGCAATATTTGTAAACTTTTAATTTTCCTTTTTCATATTTTCCACCAATGTGAGAAAGGCGAAAAAAAAAAATAAAAAAAAATAAAACCTTAGCCCTATCAATTGAAGGTGAATGGAACTTGGGAGGGATGCAAATGATAGATCTAACTCTGACAAAAAATAAATCTATGAGAAAAACTAACTCTAACTAAGAAATATATATACGAGAAAAGGTATATTCAAATATAAGTTAATATCAAATTTTCATATAATATTTCAAGGTCATGTTCATTCCTTATTCAACACAATCGTATTTTTTTGGAAAGGAAAAAAAACTTTGGGATTCGGTTTAACCAGTAAGAAAATGAGTAATAATTATTTTTTAAAAATTTAAACATATATTTAAATTGTATTGGACCACATCAACTAAGAGGATAAACTTTATCATCTTATGGGAGGATCCAAGTATTGTCCTGTTTTAATTATCCCTACCATATAAACCAAGGAACAATGCTTGCGTCCTGCACAGGGATAAGCCCCTTTTTCCGGGTTAAACCCGTTTTTCTTATCATTCTATTCTCTTTCTCTTTCTCTCAATACCTAAACTGCACCACCCATTCTAATATTCCCATCTCTCTCCACCATGCGCTGCCTCAACAACCACCCCAACATCCTCAAAATCCATGAAGTCCTCGCCACCAAAACCAAGATCTACCTTGTCATGGAGCTTGCACAGGGCTGTGAGCACTTCGTCCAACTCGCCGGTGAACAAGGAAGGGACGGCCAACGAAAGCTCTGGCCAAGCCATCAAATAACTCTCCTCTCATCTCCATCTCTTTCTATTTTTCTCTCATCTCATATCTTCAAGTTATATGTATATATATATATATATCTCTCTCTCTCTCTCTCTCTCTCTCTGCACCTCTGTATTCGTTCATCCAACTCCTTTTTCATCATCCGTTCTTCGTTTTTTTTTTCTTGCCCTTAATCATCTCTAATCGCAATCCATCATCTAATATGCACAGATAGAGAACAATTCGACCTAAGGTTTGAAGAGCATAAAATTGGGGGGTTTTGATTTGAAGTAAAAATTGCAAAAATTGTTGGGTCGCATTGCAATTGGGGTTGAAAGATGGAAAGATTAGAATGGGTCTGTTGCGGCACAATTTAGGTATTGAGAGAGAGAGAGAGGAGAGTGAGAAGAAAAAACAGGTTTAATCCGGACAAATGGCGTTACCCATATTTTTATTATTTTTTATTTTGAATAGGTATCAACATACACAGGATGCAAGCATTGTTATGAACTAAGCACACTCGCATATACATAATACATAATATATATTGTGTGCAAATATAATTACAGTGAAATGGACTTTAGTCGAAGATGCATTAAACTTAGGTAGGTCACAGACATTCATCAAATAATTTCAGTTGACCTGCTTTTCATTTTAGTCACAAAATGCCATCAGACCATAAAAGGGTCTTGCCTTAGGTGACTTTCTTTTTTCATACACGCGGTCTATTCATATAATTATGTATTGCTCCTCACATTCAAGTTAATACACACACACAAATATGTCCAAATTGCCACTTATTTAGCGGGACAAAAAAAGACAAATTAAATATGGGTGTATGTCATTAGAGCAACTCCAATGCTCTCTCGTTTGGGCCTCTCAAACTCAAAATATGAGAGTTGAGTAAAAAAGAGCCTCTCCAATGGGCTCTTATTTGAGCTCTCAAAATTTGAGATTCCCAAATTTCTTCTCATATATGGCAGCTGCCATATTTTTTTGGCAAGTCTCTCATTTCTCAATACGGTGTCGTTTCTCACCAGTCATCACCCACTCGCATCTCTATATGTATATTATATATATAATATAATATATATATTAATATATATAAATTTCTGAAAAAAAAAATTACATAAAAAAGTTAATTCACAAATAGTGGTAAAAAAATTATAATTTTTTTTTTTTTTTTTTATCCTTTTTTGACCAGAAATTTTAGATTTGCACTTCTTTTTAATTAGGTTTAATTTTAGTTTCCTTTTAATGTCTACAATTTGACTTGGAATGTGCCTAATATTAATATTACTGATGCAAATATGAATGGTGTGAATGGTAGTTGAAAAAAAATAGTGGTTGTGTTAAAAAATAGTATTTTGCATGAAATGTACCATTAGAACAGAATTACTAAAATGTAGCATTTTAGCATTGTAACACCTGTCAAAATATATATTTGGCATGTGAAAATAGGTTTTAACATTGGAGATTACCCATATTTTTATTATTTTTTATTTTGAATAGGTATCAACATACACAGGATGCAAGCATTGTTCTGAACTAAGCACACTCGCATATACATAATACACAATATATATTGTGTGCAAATATAATTACAGTGAAATGGACTTTAGTCGAAGATGCATTAAACTTAGGTAGGTAAGCTCAAATTGACATAATAGAAAAGGGTTACGCCTATCTACTCAGTACTCAATGATTAAATGATGTAAGTTTAACAAACTTGCCCACATCCTTAGCAAACTCTACAAAAGCAACAGCCTCTCTCCCTGCCCTGACGTCGACTCCATACCTTAAAAACGATGGAATGAACAACCGGATGCCGGTAACCACCACGAACACAAGTACCAGCGGACCCGACACGATCCGTGGCAATCGGAATTTGCCATCAACCGCCTTCTTGATCACAATTTCTACGGCCAAACACATCCCATGAAGGAGAAAGAAGCACGTGACCTCCCATGTGGGCTTCACTCTTCCAAAGTTATAGAAAATCAATTCATGCATCATACCAGACAAAAAAAATGTTGCGAGTACTGCTGGAAGCGGGCTCCACTTTCTCCCTATGAAGCGGGTAGATATGGATCGGACGGGATCGTAGACAGTCGGGCGTAGGATACCAGTAACCATGAGGTTCCACCTTCTGCCCCAAAAGTCTTGCAACGAGCTAGATAGGTAAGGGTCATCAAACTGTGGCTCGAGCTCCAACCGGGCTAGGGCTCGAACCAGGGCCCCAACCATGGCTAACATCAGGTCAAGGGATAAGTATATGTGAAAGCAATATAGCAACATTATAAATTTTGGATGGTAATATTGTTTATAGCTATAGGAACGCAAAAGAGTAGAGAAAAGCATAATCTTTATGGCATAATTTAGAGGTGATTTGTGGCTTTTTTGGGTGGTTTGGTGAGATGGGTGGTTTTGAATCTTGATGGGTAGACAAGCTATGGTGATGAAACGCGACAAAGGTATTGGTGGGTTAGGAGATAAAGGACCCTTACCATAGGCAAAGAGGAGGAGCTTGAAGTCGGCAAGCCATGATATGAAGAAATTGGTTGTGCTTCCAAGATTTACTGAGGAGAGATTGAGAGGAAGATAGAGAAAGAGACCTACTATTGGGAAAATGGCAACAAGTCTAGGAGGACCTTTGGGGATGAACTTGCCTATGGCATGACAGTAGCAAATAGATGCCAAGACTGTGATCAATAACACTATGAAATTGTTGATTTCACCTTCCATTATATATATATAAATATATATATCTCCCTCTCTTGAGATTGAACTGTGAAGATCGCACTAGAAATATAGGGATGTTCTACATATAATATATAGCATCTGAAGTGAAATAGGAAGACAGCATATATAGAGTAACATTGAGATGTAGAGATGCTTGGTCAAACTCTTGTACAATAACAAAATCATTTATTTATTAGTGATAATTGTTATGTGGGGCAATCATTTATTTATTAACGGGATTATTTTGATTGATTCTTAAGATGTAACTTAGATACGTATTCTAACTTAATAAAGTGTTGACTTTGCATTATTATCTGGAGATGAATGGAGGGGGGACAATACTTGTGTCCAAATCAGGTTGGACACGGTTCATCTAACCTGGTGACGTGGACCAATCTGGGTTGGACATGTGTTAAATTTTTTTAAAAATTAAAGTGGATATTACCCAACTTAATTTCGATATGACCCATTGCTCTAACAATTTTAAGGGACCAAAATAACCCTTTCTTCCCCCTCTTCATTTTCTCTCTTACATATTCTCCTTCACCCACGTCTCAACCCAAATCCATTATCGTCAACCATCCACATAGCCATGACTTGGGCTCCTGCTGCCAAAAGGAGAGAGAGACTACAACAACTCTCTGCTACTTTACAACAACAACAACAACAACAGTTAAGTCTGAGAGGACTAGGAGGAGATCACGATGATCAGACTAATATCCATCCCAAAATGCACAGAAAGATTAATAATCCAACTAATTTCTCTCTCTCTCCCTCTCTATCTATATATATCTATATGACAAAAACACACACTCAATTCTGATTAATTCTTTTTAACGCACCCACTATTTTGATGGGTTTCTAGATTCATGTACGGATTGTAAAAGAACAAAGGAAACAAATTGTGACTTATTATTAGATAATATAATATATGATCAAATTTGTTTTTATATTTTTAGTAAAAGGGTATTATGAAAAAGCAAATTTTCTATTTACAGATTTTTATTGGTAATTTTTTAATAAAAAAACCCAACACTCGTACTAACTTCATGCAATGGAATTTATTGGTAATATTTACAGGTTTTTATTGGTAATTTTTTAACAAAGGAAACCCAACAATTTTTTTTGGTAAATTATAGTTTTGGAATTTGTCACTTCAAAAAAAAGATATTTCATGAATTTTTTTTTTTTTTTTTTTTTTTTTTTTTTTTTTTTTTTTTACTGATTTTGGTTGCACTTTTACCCTACCAAACATGTTTTGTTCTCATATTACTTAGAACGAAATACCTTACCAAACATGTTCTACCATGTTTCTCTTCCAAAATTCTCACCACAAATTTTCATCGCCAAATATGTTTTGTTCTCATTTTATAACACCACATCACAAAACACTTGTTCTGTTTTAGAATAGAACATTACACTACACCACACAACACTTCGGCCCCGAATAACAACAACTCTTAATCATGAACAGTAATGCTAGCTAGCTATATAGGAGAAATCCTACTAAAAATGTGTGTACACAGAGAGAGGGGAATACACACACACACACACACATATATATATATATATATATATGACAAAAACACACACTCAATTTTGATTAATCCTTTTTAGGGTAATTTACACAGACTTCCCCTATGGTTTACAATAATTACAGGCAACACCCTTCATGTTCTGAAAATTACGCGGACCTCCCCTACTTTTTAAAATATCCTACATGGACTTCCCTTATCTGTGACGGACAGTTAAATCCACTAACGAAGCTGTCAAAATTACTAAAATACCCTCACATTGTTACCTTAAATTACTAAAATACCCATAAGCTTTTATATATATTGTTTTATGGTTAGAAATCCTCTTCTCGTTTCAAGATCTTCACCTATCCGATGACCATATTTTTGGCCGAAAAGTTGTTCGTCTGATCACGGCCGTTCTCATGAAACCTCACAGGACGACTTCGCTTTCACCTACAGGTACGCATCGAGCTGGGGTTGGAGTTACGGTTAGGGTAAGGTTTGAGGCTCGGCCATGTTTAATAGGACCAATTGTGATTGTAATCGCCATCGTTGATGGCGTACTGGACTTTCACTCTATAAATCCACCCTTCAATTTGCAACCTCTATAAATCCTGGATTTGATTCAGAGCATCCACAAACAGGAAGTCCATATGGTTCAGCGGCGCCACCGTTGACCGTAGCGTTGACAATTGTACCAGAACAGAATTTATAGCATCCACAAATTGTTCCCTATCTGAATTCCCCTAATTCGATGATTTCAGGCAATGAGATGATAGAGAAGTGAGGTTGTGCTTTTTTATGAAGCTATTAGCTATGCTGGTGGATTTGGAAGGGTTCTGGGTTTACGCAGCGGTATACTGGCAGTGACTACAAGGACGCCGGAGCCGAAGATGGCGATGAGAACCGTCGAGTCGGAGTTGTAGAGCTTGACCCGGTATGGTACTGTTTCTGATGTTTGCAATACAACAATAGATAAGTGGAGGGTTTTTTTTTTTTTTTTTTTTTTTTTTTTTTTTTCTCTTCTTATCCTTATTTTGATAAAGTTTAAAAAACTTGCACTTTCATACTTTTCAATCCGAATTCCATAAATTTTTGACATCAAGGTTAGGATGAATATGTGTAGTAGATCATACTAGTTGACAGTAGGGCTGCAACTCGGGCTGGGCTAGCCCGAATTTACCCGAGCCCAGCCTGAAATTTTTAGGGCTTGGGTAGTGTTTTTCTGTTCTAGGTCTGGGCTTGGGCTAGATATTCTGTGCCCGAATTAAATTGGGTCTGGGCTTGGGTTGATATTATATAAAGCCCGAAGCCCAGCCCGAGCCTGGAAAGGTTATATTTATTTTAAAACTACGTTTTTTCACAAGTATATAGTAGCTTAGTTGGTAGTGTGTGTGAGATTTTTCTTGGTGAAATGCTGTACGAGTCCTTATAGCTGCACAAGATTTCCTATTTTTTTACTCTGAATACAGAGGAGTGGGCTCATGGGATGGGCTTGGGCTGGACAAGTTAATCATGGGCTGGGCTTTAGTGGCTGGGATTGGGCTCTAGGCGGGCTCGGGCTGGGCTTGAGCAAAAGATTTTATGCATGGGCTGAGCCCGAATTAAGTCTCCAGCCTGCCCAACCCGCTCAAGTTGCAGCCCTAGTTGACAGAGACCATATCCTCTGTTATTGTAATCGGCAAAATCAAAATCCACCCCTAATTCTCCATCGCATCATTAGCTACCACCAAACTCTGCCATGACTAGCTTAGATCATATGGAACTCTTGCCTTCAAAGATGTAAGAGAGCAAATGATGGTAAATTCACAGTATGTTCAGTATATATATATCATGATTATCATTTTTAATTTTATAGGATTGAGAGTCAAAGAAAGTTGAGGTAACAGAGAGTTTGGGCATTGCAGTTATGGTGGGTATAAGTAGATAGAACTGGAGATGAATGGTTGTTTGTGTAGCAATGGTGTTCAATAAAGGATTCTACAGGCTGGAATTCAATTGGCGCAAGATCAATTATATATTTATGCAAATGTTTTGAAGGGGATGCAAAGAGATCGAGTTAATGGATACCCAAAAACAGAAGTCGAGACCTGGGAAAGTTTTATGCAATCACTCGAACACGTATATTAAAAACCACTAAAGTGTGAAATATATTGAATCATAATTCCACAATAAAATAGATTGTCTCAAAGTAGACGAGTTTAAGAAAGAAAAACCCAGAAGGAAAATCAGATTGTCTCACAGCCTCGCCGTCGCCTTCTCATAGCCTCGTCGTCACAGATCCTCACCGTCGCTGTGATACCCGTCGATTCTAGAGCCACGGGTGATCAAGTCCGAGCACAGATCTGAGGGATACCAACTGTCAATATGTAAACAAACAGGAATACAAACTGAAATAAGAATAAAATAATAAAACGCTGAAAGAAATCTAAAATAAAAATCCTCAAACCTTAAATAATGAATTAATATAATTAAAATCCGTACAACTCGGGAATCTACCTAGTGGACCCCTAATCCCAAATCTTTAAATACATTTACAAAATTAAAATCCAAAACCAAAATAGAAAGGAAGTCCTATGTAAGCGGAAGAGTGAGTGTTTGTATCTGCATCAACACGATCAAGCTCTAAGCCTGGTGAAAAATAGGAGTGGGTCAAGCCCACATGCAAGTTCTAATCTACTACAATCCGTACATAAACCCGATACGCAGATACATCCTAGATAGCTCGGCAATATCTAAACATCATCCATATATATATATATATATATATATATATATATATATATATATATATATATATATACACACACACACACATTATATGATACTCACTAACCTATAGTCATCACACATGAGTAGAAGGTAACACGCAAAACGGCGTAGCGTCGTCATGCACACCCAGACCTACCAGGGAATGTCATTAGGTCCAGTTATCCCTTCATGCGATATACGTACCCTAACCGTGATCAGGAGACTCAAGCTTATACCACGGTACCATAAGTATATATATAAATTCTTTCCTAATACAGAGAAGTAAAACAAACATCCGTTATGTTGTTTAACTATCTTAGTTGACAAGACATGCATCCATAGATGATTTAACTGTTTTAGTTAATCCATTCCTTATGTATAAATGGGTAAGGATTAGCGTTTTGATCTAATCCGTCCCTCCGTATGCCACCGTCCCATACTGGTGCATATTATGCAAATGATCCGTAAATGATGCAACATTTTAAGCAGTTCATCAAATCAAATCCACATAATCCAAATAGTTGATATACATAATTTAAATAGTTCATCAACTAGCAATCCAGAATCCATCCACGTAACTAATGAGACAAGGTTTAATAGTTCACCAAGTTAAAATCCAGCATCCATCTATGTAATTGACAGAAAATATATATAGTTATTTCTTCAATTAATTCTAGGCCAACACCCAATTAAATTAACAGAACCTAAATATTAGTTCAGCAATTTAAGTCCAAACTATAACCCAAGTAATTGTAGAATAGTGTTTAATATCACAGCAATTACTATCCAAGCTTAAATCCATATATCG